TATATATATATATTATATTAATAAACATTTTAATTAATAATTTATTCACTCGTTATCTTGACCAAGTATCCGTCCAAATTTAAAAATACTTATTATAATATAAAATATTTTTCTTTATATATTAAAATGAAGAAGAAAAATAATTAAAGAAAGAGTTTCAATTCTAAAATTATTTAGAATAAAATTTAAATTTAAATTTTATATAAAGTTTACAATTATAATATTAAAAACAAAATATTTAAACATCTACATTTTATTTTATTAACAAGAAAGATTAATAAATCTAATTTAACTCTAGTAATTCATTTTAACATCTATCTAACACAACTATACTTATCTATTTAGCATTAGTTTGTCATAATAATTTCTCTAAAATATAATTTTTATTTGATGAAAAAACAAATTTAATTTAAGGAAATTTATTTTAATATTTTACTTTTAGTCCTTCGGTCAATTTATCACGTCAATCCAAATTAGTATTTCTTTTAATTATAATAAATGTCACATTAAAAATAAAAATAAATTTTAAATAAGTGTTCGTGTTAACTTTTTAATATAATATAAGTTATCTGTTTTTCATTTATACCATAATAATATTATTTTAAAAAAAAATTGTGTTGCATCATTATTAATCATTAAACTAATTTTATAAAATTATCAATTTTATTTCATCCGTCGAATTAACTTTTTTCATCCGCGTAAAATAACTTGGAAAAATATTTACTAAGGGACACAATAAATACTGTGAATTAATCACCTATAAACTGTTAGTATAAATTTTTTTTACACTGGTAACCAATTATATCTTTTAATTGTGTCATGTCACTGTTAAAAGTAAATATGTTTATATAGTGACATGACACAATTAAAATATATAATTGATTGCTAGTGTAAAAAAATTTTATATTAACATTATATATATAATTAACTCAAATACTATTAGTACAATATTGATGAAAAACATGTTAATTAAAATGGAACTTCATAAACTTAAGAGAGATCAATCACAATAACAAGAGATCAAAATTCTATTTTAATTTTATTTTTATAAATATTTAACATCCATCCATACATATTATCCATCCATACATATGGTGTGGTGTGTATAAATTAAACACAATGGGAGATGTACAATTACAGTCACATGTTGATGGATTTAAGTTATTCTTCCACAATGCTTTCCCCACACTCACTCAACTACAACAATCACAAAACAGTAATAACCAACGCCGGAGCACCGTGTAGGTGGTCGTTCAGATTCAGTTATAACAAACCTCACACTCCTCTCGTCTTCCCAAGCCACCTTCCGATCGCATCGCCGCTTCTCACAACAACAACAACCGCTCTCCGCCGCAACGCCACCACACTTCCGCCTCTCCGTTTCTCCGGCGCTGCCGATGTCGTCATCGTCGGCGCTGGCGTCGCCGGTTCCGCTCTCGCCTACACCCTTGCTAAGGTGCTTGTGCACATCCTTCATTAGTAGAAACATTTTGAAATATAATTCTTTATGCTTCCAAAGTTTATAATTGGAGTCTGGGTTAAAGATGATTTTCAAACTTATAAAAGAAATTGTTTATCTATTATTTCTTAACACTTCAACGAAATAAACTTTTAGTAGCATTTAATATGATTTTTAGTGACAATAAAAATTACTGAAAAAATATATAAATTTTTATGATATTTAATATGTTTTGTTATTACCACTAAAAGTTTAATAAATGGTTCATAATACTTTTTAATTATCTTATCTCTAGTCGATGTGAAATTTATTAGATGAGGATTGTCCTCTACTTATATATTCTTTAGTTTTCTTATTTTTTAATTAATTATTTTATTTATAATTGATGTGTGACTTGTATTTTTTCCTTATTTTTTTAATTATCTTATCTTATCTCCTAAGAGATGTGGAATTTATAAAGTGAAAGTTATTTTTTACTTATATACTCTTTAATTGTTTTATTAATAAACGATGTAGGACTTGAGTGAAACTTGTAAGGTAAAAGTTTTTTTCTACTCATATATTCTTTAATTATTTTATCTATAGTAAATTTGAGACTTAAATTTTTTTTAATAAATAATTTCACTAAATAATAAATTTTGGTGTGATGTAAACAGTGATGAATTCATAAAATTTGTTAAGTTGGGGCAATAAAATATTTTATATTATTTTTTATTAAAAATATAATATTTTTATGGTAAAAATTTTAAAATACCTTATTTGTATAAATTACAATTGTCTTATAAATAGAATGATAATTTTTTCTTTTTCTTTTTCTGTCTAAGATTATATTTAAATGTCACTTTATAATTTTTTGTGACTTATTTAATATTAGAGGAATAAAATGGTACAAAGTAATAGGATAAAAATAATAAAATTATTAATTTATTTTCTTTTAGTGTCTTCTAAATTTATACATTCATTTAAAGTAAATATTTTATGAGTGCAATGTCTATTTTTTTATAAGAGTAATTTTTTTACTTAAATATATTTAATTAAAAAAATTGTGTGACAATTACTCTCATTCTAGCTCTTAATATGGATCCTCTCCTACCAATACACAATATACATATACATGATCAAAGGGTTAAAAAATAAAATAAAAATTAAAAAAAAACTACATATTAGTAAACTAAATTATGACATATTTAATGAGTAAAGAAATAATAAATCTTTTAGCCAAAAAATATAATATATTATAATAATAAAAAAATGAGGAGGGATTTATTTATTTCAAGGGTCAATTTTGATAGACTTATTTCAGTCAATAATTCATGTTCTACATCAAGTATTCAACTATTCAATTAAAACTCTTTAATGTATAGATCAAATTTATAAAATTTAAAAAAAAATAAAACAAATTATTTGATATTCAGTTTCATTAATTTAAATTGATATATAATAGAAAAAATATTTTTATGTTATTTTGAATCTATCTAATGAAGTATCATATGATTTTTAATTTTTAAAATAAATTTATAAATTTGATTTATACATTAAAAGCTTTTAATTTGACAATTGAATTTTTAAAAACTTAATATAAAACATTAGTTATTGAATAGAGTAAGCCTATATCAAGACTTAATATTGACGTAAATGAATTTTTTTTTCTCATAAAAATTATGATAATTTTGTCATAAAATAAAAACAATTAAATAATAAAATAAAATATAAATATATTTTATTATATTATATTATAGGGTAATTAAAATATAAATAATAATATATATTTTATAAAACAATTTATATTATATTATATATATATATATAAATGAAAAATGTATTTATATATATATATATAAATACATTTTTATTGAATATTATATATTACTCATTAATATTTTTATTAGATAATAAAATGGAGAAAATTAATTTGTTATCTTTAAATAATAGTCAATAATAATAAAATTTGTAATCTAAAATTTAATTATAGAAAAAAAATTTAAAAATAAATAATTTTTTTGTGAGTTAAAATTAACTAAGTCATTTTTTTAAACTTAAAATAAGCTTTTAAAAATGTTAAAGGAGAGAACTTTTATGCATAAGTTAATGTAAAAATACTTATTTTATTTATTCTTTTATTTTATTATAAGTATTTATAAAATAAAAAAAATAAACCTATAATGACGATGAACTCATTAAATAATTAAATTAGTGATTTGATTTATTTAACTTTCTAATTAAGTGCATGTATTTTATGGAACCTTAAGAAAAGTTTAATTTAAATGATTTATATCTTTAGAGACATAATTTCAGGTTTTTAAGTATATGAATTTATTTCAAAAATTCTAAATATTTCAAGAAATTTTGGGTTATTTAACCTTATCTGTGGGTTAGTTTTAAAAAATTAGACTCATGGATATACGAGTTCAAATGCATCTTATTAATATTTCGAAATTAATCTTATTAATATTTTGAAATTAAGCGTCTTCATTGATTTAGTCTACCAAACAATTATTATTTTAGTATTAAAATGATTAAACTTCACCAACAAGCTACAATATAATTGATGAATAATTTTATATCTTAAGTAACACGGTTAGAGATTTTATTCATGATTCATGTGTTTGAAAAAATATTTGTTGTCTAAAGTCAACTTTTTAAATAAATTTTAATATCTCAAGAAATTAATCCTTTACTTCTGATTAAGAAATGTCTTATTTCATTCCAAAATTATTATTAAACAAGAATTATAGTTCTAAATTTTATTGTTGTAGAGACTAAAATGACTTTATTTTAGTAATTAAAGTGATATTTGATAAATTTTATCAACTAAATTGACTTGTTGAAAACACATTTTTTTATGTTATGCCCTAATTAAAAACACATTTTTAATGGAATTTTAGAAATTTCTTATTTTCTTTGTCACACCATGAATATCTCCCACTCGCTAGATCAGAGATTCCTTAAGCAATTTAATTTTAAAAATAAAAATATAAAACAAACATTGTTTAATCTCACCATGTTCTATTTTCAAAGAAAACAAAAAATAATATTGAAAATATGTTTGACTTCAATTTTAGAAAATATTTTCTTTCAAAAGAAGCTCAATTTTGAGAATGAAAAAAAATTCATTTATGAAAATGAACTATTTGAAAACACAATGCTATGGTGTAACAATATGATTTTTCTTCTTCTTATCATTTACATCATGCAGAAAATTTTTTAGGGATCTTCATTTGTTGGTTTGAATTAAGTTTCAATAAGTCCATTATCCAACTAAATAATGATAATTTAGGTTGGATTTTTGAATTTTTTTTTTTTTTTTTTTTTTATCAAATCTGAACCAAACCATGACTAATAATGAGTTGAGTTGGGTTACGTTATTGGATAAAAAAGTTAAAAATTATTTTAAGAAAACACTAATACTCAAATAAATACCAAACATTCATATACTCTTAATTATAATGTGTAAATAAAAATAAAGAAATACTAAAACAATATTCTTTCAATCATTTTCAATCACTTTATTCATATTAAAAAAATTAAAAAAAATATATCAAAAATAATATTATAATAAAATTCTTAGGGTTAAAACATTCCTTCATATGAAATACATCTTCTATATACTTTTAAGTGTATTGAACTAAAATTTCAATTGTACGCATGCTTATCAAAGGCACAATGGAAAATGTCTCATCAAAATAGACCTAATAACTTTATTCATACATTAGATACATATATAAAGCCCAAATGAGTTATCAGGAAATGAGATTATTACTAAAGTTGTGAAGCACAAATGAAAAACATAGTAGTGACCTATGAGTATGTGCATATTGGTGTAACCCCCTTTCTACACTTTACTCACCACAACATTAAAACTAAGAAATAAATTTGATTTAAGATCTATTACCTTCTTGAATTTTGTGTGATAAATTAAAAAAAAAATGTTTAGGAAGAACAATTGAAATTCTTTGAATAAGAATCCAAGGATCTTAATAAAATGTTGATGAAACACACAATAGTAAATTTGAGGTTAAATTTATCTTAATCTTCAGATTAATATATTAAAAATGGATAAGATGGGAGTTATAATGGTCTGATGGCACACTGATGGAAAAGGTGAAGTTGTTGGATTTAATAACAGAGCTTTCCATGCTTGGAGCTCTACAGTGATTAGTATTTCAACTTTTAAAATGCTAACTAGATCAGTTTATGAGAATATCTTATTTTCTTGGTCATTTCTTCTTATTGTATCATGTTTCGTTTGTATCCATGAAAAGATGTACAAAACTATAAATAATGCCTAGGGAAACTAGATTAATATCATAAAGAAAATGAATGTTTTGATTGTTTACTATGAAGATCTTCCATAAATTAACTTATACGTATGTAAATAAATTTTTGAAGGATGGACGACGTGTCCATGTCATTGAGAAAGACTTGAGACAGCCAGATAGAATCGTCGGTGAAGTTCTCTTGCCAGGAGGATATCTAAAGCTAGTTGAATTAGGGTTAGAAGGTATGTATCATTATCTAGAAAACAACATTATTCCAAGACTGAGGTCGGATATAGTCTCCTTGCTAATCATATATTTTATACATGCTTGAATAACTAATTAATATCATGTCTAGAGACACTTACATAAGTTACATGCCTTTCTTTGTTTTGCTCTTCAGTTTCAATTTATTCATATTTACACATGTTGTGCTAAACCAACCTAGTTTTGCTATATATATATATATATATAATATAT